ATATTAATTACTAAAAATTGCCGAATATTAATCTTCAATAATTTTTTTCTCAAATACTATCAATTTTACAGAAAAACTGTAGGAAATAAAAATTGTTTAGTTTCTTCTCATACAGTTCTGAGAATTTTTTCAGAATTTTTTAATATCGTATTTTCTGATATTGGTAAAAATAAGAAAATTCAGCACTAAAAAATTGATAAAAATTCCGAAAAAATTTTTAGACTTTTATGAAAAGAAAATAAACAACTTTTGTCTCTTTTTTTATAAAGCAGTTTTTTAATAAAGTTAATAGTTTTATCCTATAAAAGAAATATAATTATAATATAATTTTTTATATGAATAGATAATTATGATACATGATGCATATATTAATACATTAATCTTCTTTCCGACGCAGATACAGCTTTAGTGTTGTCAACTGTCTAAAGGAATGAAATCTTAATTCCTTTTTTGACTGTAATCTACCAGGGTAGATGGAACCTCACTCCAAAAAAGGGATTGAAATTTCATTCCGAAGGATCAATCTCTTTTAAATAAATCGATTACTCTTTTTGACTATAGTGCAATTTGAGATGCAGATAATCTTGTCCATCACTTCTGTCAACTCTCAAGACTAAAGAATAACTAATTAATCATTCGATAGATTATTAATGTTTATCAAGTTACTTATAATTGACCCGGCATGGAACCTGTTAATACTGTCACTGAATTAAATATTTTCAATTAGACTGCTGTCGGTTAATGCTACGAATACATCATTTTTTCCCGTATACCATTACCTTCGAAAGCGGGTTCACAGGAAAGCATATTCTGCCAAAACATCACGCCATATTGTCCTTCAGCCATTTTCAACTCGCCCCCATGCTTCTTAAGCAATGCTCTTTTATGAATGAAATCCTTTAAAGAATCCCAATTTGTCCCGTGAAAGTGAATCCGATTACGAATCTTCTCCTGTGATATACAACACATATGAACGTGTTATAAAGATTTTACTAAAAGTTTAAAAATTTTCTAAAAGTTTATTATTACGCAACTTATAAAGGTAAATCATAAGATCGTCATATAACTCAAAATTATAAGATCATACCTCCAGGAATGGTTTGAATATTGCAAATGCCATGTTGAAAATGAAGGATTGATTCACAATATGGATACCTTTGAGCCGAGTGGGCATACATTTTTGTATAAATTCTACTATCATTTTAGCAAAACTTGGTGTGATATACGTCAAATGACTAAGAGATAAACCTTCGACGTCTAAAATGATACGCGCACCTGCGATCTAAGAAACAAAAAGTTTCGTAATTATAAGTGCACGACATTTACTTACGTAGCATTAGAGATTACAAATTAGGAATGTGCGTTCCCGGGATCAATTTGCTAAAAATCGATATTTTAGAAAATAATTGCTTCAAAATAGTTCTTTTTATTGAAAAAAAAGTTAAAGAAAAATAAGTTTTTTTTAAAATAGATCAATTTAAAATTGCTATTCTCGTTTGGAAAGATCGATTTTTTTGGAGATCGGAACATCCCTACAATATGTACATGCAAATCTTTCGCTAAAAATTCAAGACTAATTTTAAGTATTAATAAATGCCGATCTATATCTTAAATCCATTAAAGAAATATTTTTTTGCCAAACCTGAGTTTTGTATTCCACCATCGCTAGATATAAGATCAATATCAGGCCTTTGAAAAAATCACTGGTCGACACCTCCTTCGGTTTCCATCGTTTTCCGCCTTCGACTATTAGCACTCTGCTTCCTTCTTGAGTACGTATCGGCAACGGATATATTAAACCGGCGCAAAGTGCAGTCTTCTGTTTGGTGATCAGCAAATCGATATATATGTGTGGATAATTTAAGCGGAACCGATAATATCGTTTTATCTGTTCAGTAAAATATAAATATTTTGACAATGATATAATAATTACTAGAAATAATTAATTATTATTGTCAAATTTTATAATAAATGCAGAGTGGGTAGATTGACCAATAAGGCGAGATTAACATTCGAGAAATAACAGTCAATTTTATCTTTTTAGATCGACACGTTTTTAAAGGATACATGTATATTA